ACGTAATCCACAAACTCTTGTGCATGTTGGTTCAATGTACGGGTTGTAGGTAGGATTGAGCCATGTACAGTTAATTGCAAATATATATATTTTTACGATCAAACTTTTTTGCGTTTCATTGGTGTCTCGATAAGCGTAAAAGCCATTATTTTGTATTTTCATATCAAGCGAATCGATCGTATGAAATCACTCCTATCAATACTTATCGCATTATGCCCTTCGAAAAACAGCGATTGACACCCCGCTATTACAATTCACGGTGCACAAAGTGGCGTGGTGTGGTCACTTGCATAAACATGACACACAGTACATATACTCGACACTAAAGGCACTCCTGTAACATATCAACAGAATACTGACCGGACTGTTTATATAAGTGTGATATTTAAAGAGAAAAAGAATTATTTAACAAAATGATAACTTTTCTACGTGAAATTTGCGTACTGATTTGTAAAACACAATGCAGTAACGCTGTAAACCATTCCTTGTGTGTTTTGGACCAAATTAAAATGACTATCATGTTGCATTTTGAGGGTTAACATGAACTAGTACCCACACAAGAAGTACGCTACAAATTAGCTGTTTATATCACTTTACTTTATTTAATGAACTTCTAATTCCCCCAACGACGACCTGGATATAGGATTTTATTGATTTGTGTAAGCTGACATTCTAACACATTGTAGAGGGTCAGAATAAACCCAAACTAGTGCGCGTTCTGATTTTGTATTCAAATAACAGCGCTAAAACGTTCTCAATGATACATAGTTTAGTCTAGTATATTTCAACGGAAAGCGGTAATGCAGATCAAACACTATTTCTGCATTTTAATACTTTACTACGAGGCTGGCTACGTCGTATTCATGTGTTTGATTCGAACGTTATGCTGCAGTGAAGCGCACGTTTCTATGAAATGCGCAATTTATTTACGATTTTTAGAATAACAATTTGTGTTAGTACTTTGTACCAGGTTTCTCAGCGTTAATTATTTAACCATACTGGTACACCAACTATGAACAGTCAACTTTAAGTCAGTTTAATCAGATTCAAGACTGGTTCATTTGTAAATATACAAGACCCTGTTACAGCTAATCAGAATACCATATTTAAACATGTTATAATAAATTGATACATTATATAATTTAACGTTATTCTAGTTTGTAATTTCTGTGTTATCGGTATTACGCCTTCCACTGTGTAACCAATACAAACACACGCATGTTCATTGTCATCTACGATAAAATACTAAGCGAGTGAGGGCGGAATATTAATTATGCCTATATATGGGAAAGTTATTTTAACACGTAGAAGTGCTTTAACAAATTTATGACAGAAAACCATACAAATCGAATTGTAGACGATGTATATTCATATTCAATTGGTCAAAAATAAACTGAAATTGTCACGATTTTACTTTAACAGTCCGCGACAATGGCGTGACTGAGAACTACAAGTGGCACGACAGAATCTAAGATATCACTGAATATGCAGTATATGACTATGGAAACCCATTGTGTCCTGCACACTCGGGAAAGGCAAATTCTACTGAAGTGTGTTTGTGTGTGTCTTGCTATAGTATAGTTACACTAAACTTGACATAACACACTTATATCACTTGTACATGTCTTCAATTTGTGCTCACGTACGTCTTATACGCTAGAAGTTTTATAGTTATTTTGCGACCAATTCACATGTCTGTTGCAAATAATACATGTTTATTATTATTGTCAGCAGCAACAACAAAATATATCGTGATTATTATAATAATAATACATGTAATAATAATAATAATAATAATAATAATAATAATAATAATAATAATAATAATAATAATAATAATAATAATGTATAAATTATATACAAAAAAATGTTGTTTATCAGTATGAAATAGGAGAATATTTATATCTGTTATCCAAAAATGAATGTTTGAAAAATGAAATTACAGTCAACATACAAAAAGCCAATATTATTTCAATTGAATCAATAAAAAATACCAAAGCATAAACAACATGGCGTTTCAATGCATGACTATGAAAATTAAATAATAAAAAAAATGGAACAAAAGAAGTGTAATTTCTGTATGACGTAAACGCCTCCAGTACGTACGACGTTCGTGTCACATTTAGTCTAACAGTTTTTTACTGATAATAATAATAATATATCTAGTGTAAAGTAATCAATGAAAGAGATGGCATACAACACTCTGTCATGACCAAAAATGTCAAGAAAGAATATTATAGACAGATTAGGATGATTTTAAGGAGTGAACTCAATGCTACAACATGTTGTACCTCACATTTGTACCTTACAGCTTTAATAGTATTCACTGGGAACTGAGTGATTTCAAGAAGTTAGATACAAAAAACACGCATATTTACCACTATAGAAAGAATGCACCGCCCAAAATCTTATGTGGACCGCCTTTACCTACCACGAACAGCAGGAGGAAGAGGCATGTCCTAGCTTGAAATGTCCTTCTAGACAATCACCATCGGTCTGGACACCTAGAAAAATCTGAAGACCTTCTGCTCCAACACGCGAAAAAAAAGAAAATCTACTGGACCTCAAAAAAAAGCAAGAAAATACAAACTGGAGCTGGGAATGACCAATGAAATCCAAAAAAATAAAAATTACAAAATATGCAGAGAAAAGAAATATCTAAGCACTATGCTCAGGATATAATACTAAAGAATTAGGAAGAGAAGATAATGCATTGCAGATATCCCAAAGAGATTGAAAAAAAGCAGATGTTGACAGACACAAGACCATTCAATGACTGTGAAGTGGTGGACTGGAGATATTAACATCTTAGAACTCAAATAGATCCGCATTCTTGAAACTAAGAAGTGTACTATCAACATAACATTTTCCCTCTAGCGCCCAAGGTCCATGGAATGGACCAGCTCTACAGGGTATTACACAAGCACTACAATGGAAATATATATATATAATAATAATATATATATAATAATATATATATATATAATAATAATAATAATATATAATAACTCTTTCGGGTTAAATCAAGTTTATGTGGCTGTTTCCTACTTTGTTCTTCGTATTCTTCACCATACAAAGTATTGTTGTAATGAAGACAAATAATAATAACAGAATGGTGATAGTCACCATTATATATGCTAGAGGAAAGCTAGTTTCATTGTCATCTGTTGATGAAGTGAAATCTTTCATAGAAGCAGAGACAATGTTGGATCGAGGTGATCTGTTGTTGGAAGCGTCTACGGCGACAACGCAAAATACGTACGTAATATCACCTGTGCATTTCAAAAAAAATATAAACAAGTCTTGTCAATGAGTGTATCTAGAAATATAGAAAATATTGTATCAAATATATTCTTCAACAAGAACAATAGATTGTGTTATTAATGTTACACAATTAAATAATGAACCATAAGTTTATACCTCTTAGAATTGTTCACTTTAAGGTTCTTAGCACTAGCCACATAAAACGATTTTTTGTTATGACGAATAATAAGTATATAGTCACATACCTCGTCCCGGTACTCTAACAGTAAAATGTTCTTTTTGTCCGGATGGCCGTGGTGAATGTAACGTACCATCTGTTAAATTATGTTGCGTCAGGTTGGTTGTCATTTCATGGTCTGAATACATCAGAGCAAATGCAGTGGACATCCATATCTCATAACGCGTTGCTGCAAGTATAAAAAATAAACTTTATATATCATAGATATTCGTCAATATAGAATGCATCATCACTTAACTGTGTTTTAATACCGAATTATTGTCTTGCTCTTTGAAAGTTTAGTTTTTATTGTTGTCACTACATTAAATAGAACTTTGCCAGCCAACTGTGTACTATATTTTTTTATTGGATATCAGGCACCTATGGTAGATTCTATGTATGTTTTTTGTGCAAGTTTATAACATGGGGAATTGATTATCATTTGATTTCCTGGTTCCTGCTAGTAACAAATGCGATATTGCAATATTTTTACTGATGGATTTGTCACAAGGTGCATACTCTGTGAACTGTGAAGCCTTGTTATATGTGCATTATCATATAACAGTTTAGGCAAAAGTGTTGATTTTATTTAGAATGTGAAACTGAATCGCTCAACAAAATCCTCGAGCACGAAATATTTATATTTTAATATTTGTATTTCTGGTTGTGGTCAAACAGGAGACAATGACAGATGGGTGCAAGGAAATGTCTCTTAAATAATTTTCCAAATTTTGAGGGTACACAATAATTGTTTAATTCACGGTTGCCAAGACGACCGAAATCATTAGGAATGAACAAATATTCAAATGAAGGATGCATTTCAGACTGTACTTGATAAACCACAGATCACTTACCATTTCCAAAATCTAGATCATCTCCCGGTGCGGTGAACTGAATTGTGATTTGCTGATTACTGAAGGATATACGCTTTACTTCAAGGTCAACAACTTTACATGGAGCATAGACGTCAGAGTAACCTAATAATACGTCAATGGATAACACAATATAAAGGTGGAAACAATGCATGAATGATATAACACAACGAACTGAATAGAATTGAAATGAAGCATACACCGCCGGCAACTAACCATTGCAAATTGAGCCTTGGCATCTAAAACTGCCGCCACTGGAAACTCTCTGAAACTCCCCAGTCTCTTCGCCACCAGTATCTGTTATATAACTCTCAAAGTCAGGGTCAATCAAGGAACCAACACCGGCCAGGTTACTTCGACTAATCATTGTATTGTTAGTATTGGCAATTCTAATCTAGGGTTGAATCATAATAAGTTGTGAAATATATCAACTACGTGTGAAAATACAAATACAAAGCACAAAAAAAGTGCCGCAAGAAATTAACACATCACACATAAAAACAAAACGTGCATTTACGCCGCTGGTGGCGCTACTCATCTCTAATAATCACACTATATTACGGCCAAAACGTAGGCTTTGCGTTCTAGCTGATTTACCTTAACGCTATACCGATCATCTCCATTAAATGCTGTGAAATATGATGAATATACACCATCGTCATTGGTGATATCAGCACCAGCACCGTCATCTGCCATGGTCAACTCAATAGGATCGTTGTTGGGTCTCTCAATAGTGGCAATAACTGCAGCATTAAGTACTGCCATGGTACCTGTATGTGAATCACACACGAATTTCGGAATACTGTTTGCAGATCATTATTGTATATACAAAAGAAGGTTGGAATGTTAGCACAATGTCTAGTAGTACATACAACTATAAACATAAACTATGCAAAGATAATTATACGTTTTAGATAGGTTTCATGAATTTGTGTATATCATATCCCCAACCATACGATACCTCCAACAGTTCAAACAGAGGCTCTTTCGATTGTAGCTGAAGTCGTCAAATGTGTCAATGATTGGGGAAGCCATCCAACAATTCCAGATCTACAAGGTTGGATTTGCAATAGCGTTTTAATGGATGACACAAATTGGTTTATTTTAGTAAACCCACACATGACTTTTTATTGCTACCGTCCATCCACGCATACATACGGAGAGTGTAATTTATAAGTTACATTCATATGTGTGATTGCTACAGTTACAACGTTATACATAAGTGTGGCATATTTCGTAAATCGTTATTGTAAATCGGACTTTGCATCTTGACTGGGAGTGAGCAGCTTTAGTCGCAGTGCAATGTCTTGAGCTGGCGAACAGATTGATTTCTTCCCGATCATTTTCAAAAGTTGGCCAATAAGGGGTTCGAACCCACAAAATCGACCGCAGCAGGTAGAGCCTCTAACAACTGGACTATTGACTTTTTCATGAGCAAACGACAAAGCATAAATTACACATTTGTATTGATGTAAACATACTTGCACTGGCAATTGTATCGTTTCCTTCGTGGTATACATCTTTACTCGCACCTCGTATACTTCTGTCAATCTCACAGTATTTGTCGCATTTCGTAATTTTACTACTGTAAACAACTTAACTACGATACTTTCAATTATATTAACTAAAATTGTTGACGCAAATATTACCTTTCGCAATAGTCACATACAAAATAAGCACCTCTGGAGGTGTGACGACCAGAGCACTCCATTCTGATTTAATTGATATTGGGTACTGGCCCGGATATCTGCTCCTAGATTGAACTATGGTAGTCACGGATTGGGAATACACTGACGGATTGTATAATGATATAGTCCATACACCGATCTTGGAAAGTAAACAAAAGATAACGTGCAATAAATTGTGTATATTGGGAGACAGCTAGCGACTATGATGTTTAAAGAGTTTTAATTTAAAATCCCATGGTAATTCATTTAAATATATCTTCGACAACCCAGGGGGTTCGCCGTGCCTTTTTTCTTACTTTACTTTACGCATTCAGAATTAATAGTTTGTAGTTTGCATTTCAGTTATACTAGTATTCTATTCAGATTCAGAATATCATCTAGTATAATACATATTAAGTTCAATTTCGATGGCAGCGCCCTCTAATTACACGTGATTCTGTGCAAGGCGCCAACCGCAGTTGAGGCAGACACAAAACAAAAAATGTACATCGATACTAGCTCAGGTACATGACAAGCGTTTTCAAAAAAATAATCACAAAGCACCCGTGACATGCGTGCATGACAAACTCTCACACATAGTCAGTACGTAGAAGGCACAGCGCTGTCGCTTAGTTCGGGCAAATAATATCGTTGTATATGTGAGACTGCTACATTACGGAACGTGATATATTTGTGAGTATGAATACCTCGGCTGTTCCTGGTAGTTTAATTGTTATAGATTGAAATGTAATATCCGTGTAGTAGAAAGGAGAGTCTTCGCCGACACTGCTTCCATTGGGAGCATGCAGAGTAACTTCAATAGATTGATAACCAAGGTAATTGAACAAGAATTCAGTTCCTCGTCCAATTGTAGAATCAATCGTAATACTAATAGTTGACACCTCACCACCATTGAGGGACATAGCATTGCTGTGAATCAATACAGATACGTCCGGGTCACCTACAAATAAATACAATATTATTGAGATATTATATATTGCGCCCTCTAGCGGTGATACGCGTCCAAGGAGCTGCATTAGGTAGAAAACAATGCTGATCACATCCGCCACTTTGTTTGGTGTTGTGGTCGTTGTCATGTAAATGTTTCTAAAAAGCATATGAATCGATGATATAAAATGACACATTGGAAAAATATGCTGCTTGAGGGTATGGTTGATTAAAAAAGACGAACGAACTTGGCTTTAGTGACCAACCATAGCGCTTGAAATTATTGTCCAATGAAAGTCATATACGCTGGCAGATACTTCCCTTAGTTTAGTGTAGTGCGCCGCAAACAGTGAAGCAGGTAAGGACGCAGACTGCAAATTCAAATGGATTGCGTTTTTATATTTACCCCTTTTTGCAATAGCGATGAAGGCCTCATTCAATGCGTTAGAATCGGACCTTTCTGAATAATAGAATGTCAATCCATCCGTTGCTGCAGGTAATTGCTCCCCTATTGAGGAAGCATCTGCACCGAATGCTATGGTGTCAACAGTCACATGCTTCTGTAGTACCTGGAAAAGATGGTTATTCTTTCAAATATTTAATAATGTGAACACGATTTGATCAACGTCTCGTATTCCACGGCTTGGTAGCTCACGGTCAGATTCAGGCTGTATGTTTACATACGAACGCCCGCACATGCCACGCGGAACAACACAAATTATGAAAAGTGGCAAATATACCCCTTGGGAATTCATGGCGTGAACCTCAAGCTATTCAACCGAAAAGCACACTGTCAAGCGGGACATTAACACATTCTTCTTCACAATATTAAACATTCTATTAATACATGTAAGGCATAGTCAGCTGCGGTGTAATAGAGTAATCCGACGAGCGCTTCTCGAAAGTGCGTTCTCATACGCCGTCGCCATTACTGGGGGGCATATACCACTCACAGTCATGGCGTCCCATAACAAATTACGTAAAAATAATAATAATATTTATTAATTACATGCGAACTCGTACTATTACCACCACTACAAACTCACCTACAAATATTTAATACGTATTTCCAACGATTATTTTCTTGGATATTTGGAAAGACGATGTTAGAGACTGGCTAACATGTGGGGCCGAATGATCAACGGAAGGAGGCCAACCTATAGGACTGTACTCAGGGCTAGAGACTGGCCAAAGCTGGAAATTCAGACTTTGTGTAGAAATTGTTGTAAAACATGATTTTGTTTCGTTTGTGTGTGTCCAAATCGCTACTTGCACGTACAGAGTTAAGCTGTTTTCTAAAACGATCGATGGAGAACAGACGTAGGAGAATTATTCTCGTTAGTAACTGGGCAGTCCCCTACAAACACGGTCGATGTACAGAATCGTAGGTTGTTCATATGGTACGATTTAATTTTTGTTGTAGAGACTTACTAGGGTTAGTGGATAGTCGTTCTTTGTGGAAAATGATGGGCATTGATCGCCAAGAAGATCATTGTAACTACACTGAT